GCATCTGATTACATATTCAATATTACATTTTTTCTAATTCCTACAATTATTATTGTAAAATTTCTAATAAATCCAACAAAATTACAATAAAATAGCATTATAATAAAATGTATGTACACCCAGAAAAAAGATTTAGTTAGGTTAAAATCGCGTTTCTTTGAACCTACTAATTTTTTATGTACTTCTATTAAAATATTTGCTAGATTTGAAGAAATAGATGTGAATTCTCTTAGAAATTCCAGTTTCAAATAAAATTTTTGTTAAGATAAAAACAATTTCTTTAAAATTAAATAAAAGTCTAATAAGGTCAACATTCAAATAAATTTGTTAACTTCAAAACAAACTTTTTTCTGGTTGCAATATTCTTAATAATTTAGGAATTAGAATAAATTATTTTAGTATAATTTAATACATTTTATTATATAAAACTATATTAACTGTAAAGTTTTCTTACTGAAAATAATGACAAATAAATTATATTTATTAGTATTACATTATTATATATAATATATTTTATAATGTTATAATAATAAATATAATTTTTGTATCCCTACCTACACGTATTCCGATGTATAGTCCTATTCATTTTCCTACCTACCCGTGTTTCAACTTAATAGACCTAAAAGTCTCTTATTAAACTCACGACGCGATTGGGATTTAATAGGGATCTTTTCAATCTCACATATGCGAGAATATATAAAAAAGAATAACCCACCCGAAGTTTAACAAATGAAAGAAATCAAATTATTTTGTAGAATAGGAATCACTGATGCCTTTCCACGTGAATTTGTGCACATATCAACACATTTATACATTTTGCATACATGGAAAATGTAGGTATATATGTTCCACATATGTTTAAATTCATATGAGAAGGCATCAGTGATGCCTAGTGTACATCACTTTACTTACATACTATATTCATTCTTATTATATTGCAGTTATAATTTTATCTATCTTCTTATCGAGTTGTGTCCCTCTGTACGTGCCTACCCGAATCCCTACCTATGTGTATTCCGATGTACAGTCCTATCCATTTTCCCAACTACCCGTATTTCATTTTAATAGACCTAAAAGTCTTTTATTAAAACCGCGACGCGATTTATAAGAGGTTCGATTTGAGATTATAATACGCGCGCGATTGGGATTTAGGGGTCTTTTCAATCTCGCACATATGCGAGGATGTATAAAACAGAGTAACCCACCCGAATTTTGACAATAGAAAGAAATCAAATTATTTTGCACATCGTCTTACATACTCTATCAGAGTGGCCAATATTGACCACTTACTCCGTCGTATTCAGTCTTCCCTCGTTGGACCAGATTGGACATACCTTTCGTTGCTCCTGGCCATACAGTCTGGTCATTTCGACCAGAGATCAGGAAGGAAGAAAACTCCTTCCGTAGTCGGTTTGTTATCGTCACCGGCAGATATTACGTACGATTTGAGTTATATGCGAGCGTCGATCGTAACGAAAAATGCACGAGTACGAGAAGTTAATTTAAAAAAAGTTTAATTCGAAACAATTTACTGCATAAAACTAATAAAATATATTTCTATTTCCGTTATTTACTCGAGAGTAGTGACCGTCTCTTCGTGATTCGATCTTTGAATTAAAAATTCAAGTATAGATACAGAAAACATTTTACTTCGCGTTATATTAATTTTAATTATATTCCGCGATAAATTAACATTTCTAATATAGATGAAATTAAAGTACTAATATCTCGGAAATGTTTTTAAAAATCAATCGCGAAACTGAATCGCGAAAACCGATCGCGGATGTATGAAGATGCGTATGAATATGCATGTTGTTCATGCGAGACGCATCTTGAAGGTGTATCGCGAGATACATATATACTATAGAATAAATGACGTGAGATCCAGAATTGAAAAACCTTCCTGCACGATAGATACTGATATTGTAATTGGATATTATACGTAATCAATAAGTGCTAATAATATATAATAATAATTTGAATTGTTTCAGCGTTCTCGACAAAATATTTAGCATCTCACGTCATATTCTTTTACATTACATATTAATATGTTGATAAAAAATGGATAGGTCACAAGTGTGTGAATATTTATTGAGAAAAACTTTTTGATCGATTAGATATATCAAATAGAAAATGAAATTATGTTGTAATCTGTCCATTTTCAGGTAACGAATCTACAGAATGTTCAATCTATTATGTATGATCTACGTTCTACGTTCTACGATCTACGAGATGAAGATTCGTTACCATAGTAAAATAAAACTTGAGACTCACCGACACTCGATGCGCAGCAGCGGAGTGAGCTCTGTTGATTCTGTAACATAAAATAGAGAATTCATATTAAAGCCGTGTTCAAGGAAACTCAAATTGCAATATATAAATAATTATTATGCCTATCAAACTTGTTATTCGATGTTCAAATGATTTATGCGCAAAAGATTTCCCGCAAAAGATCTTCACGGGAATAAACTTTTGTAAAATTTTAAATTACTTCTTGTTCTCTAATTATTCTTTCGAAATTAAAAAATTATTAAATGAAATTACTAAAAAATAAACTGGAAAAAGATTACTTTTCCACAAAATAAAATATAACATTTACCTTAAAGTTGCTCCGCCGGCGCCCGATGCCTCTCCCAAGCCTCCTCCTCCTCTCAGATTTTCCTCTGGCACACTCGCGAAAACACAAAGATCGTTCGCGCGATTTTACGCTCCCGTGTGTAAAGCCTATTTGAACGTATTCTGTTCCGTCAAGTTCGCCTCCACTTCGAGTCGACGAGTAAGTCGAGACACACATCGAAAGTGCGGCCATCGACAGGAACGGACATTAACGAATACTTGTTCAAATGGGCTTTGAAATGTCTTTATTTCGATTTTTTTAACGGCATTCCCGAACGCGACGAAAATGGACACTTTATATTATACGCGCACTTTTGTACACATAATTTATATATGTAATTCCCGTGTCGCATTTTCACTTCGAATTCGCTTGATATTCATCTCGACAAATTACCGTAGAAATCAACGATATGGATCGCGACAATTACTTCAACGCGATTGATAAATGTTACGAACTTTTGTAAGAGATGATCGCGTTGCGAGAAGCGAAGCAAAGACCCTCTTCGCTCGACTGTGCCGCGCCGAATAGTTACGCACAATGATAATAGACTGTTTTCGACCGAGGTGTTTACGCGTCATTTCTTAGAATCAACGCTCGGCGATCGACGCTCGAAATTCCAAACATTTCTCCGCGATTGATGAACCTCAATGATCGACGGAAATTTTAAAGCACGACGCGCGAGAGAGATTCGTCCAACTTCGATCGTTAAGATATTAAGGTACCGCCCGTGGATGTATCAGAACTAACATAAGTTTCTTATCGCGCTTCTGTTTCAAACTACGCGTGCTATTCTCATCTCGATAAATCACCGCAAGGATCAACGATAATATTGCGGATTGCGACAAAATGCGTTTGATAAACGTTACTAACTTTCGTAAGAGATGATCGCGTTGCCACGAGCGACGTGAAGACACACGTTCCGTCCGCCTCGTTCGGCTGTGCCGCGTCGAATGATTCGGATAAACTGTTTTTGTGTGGTATGTGCCAGGGGTGTTTACGGCGCTACGTCATTTCTTGGAATCCGTGCTCGGTTTTTCATCCGCCCTCGGGTTTTTCATCCGCGCTCGGTTTTTCAACCGAGGTGTTTACGTCGCTACTCATTTCTTGGAACGCCGCTCGGTCTACGGAGCCCGTTGACACGAAACTGCGATCGCTCTCTGCGAATAATTAGCGATCGATATTTTCACGTGATCGCTGGTATCCTCGCAATTTTCCATCGATGTTCGATTAATCGACGAGACAAATATCGCGCGCGATTCACACGTGAGATCTGTACGTCCGAGAATCAAAGCGCTAGCTGACTTGAAATTACTTCTTCATTGCGATAATTGCGGACGATAATTGCTTCTTTAATCGATGCTCGGACATATCTTGTATCGTCGCATTGAGTCCCTCGTCGCTTCGAGTATAATTTATTGGCTGTTTCTAGGTTGAAAGCATGAAATAGTACACGAAATATTGAATCGAATGCTTCAACTAGCATTTATCGGTGCTTTATTAATACTAATAGTTTATATATTTTTAACGGAATTTATAAATGAAAAGACATGTGCGACATTGAATTTTTAATTATTTTCAGATGATTGTGTCTCGATTAATCGTTAATTCAGTTGTCTTTATTGTACGGTGTCGATGTTGAAATGTATAATTTTTAAGTTTTTCATTTATTAACGGAAATGTATAATCTTGAAATTTTTCTCGTATTAACAGAATCATACAATTGCTGGTCAGGATGCAGAACTTTGAGTCAAATTCCACCGCGATCGTTTAATTGAAGAATTAAATATCAATATACTGCAATATTTCCTCATCGATAGTTTAAATTTATACATCGACGATTTCTGTTGATGAAAATTCGTACCATCGGATAAATTTATAAATAATACCGAGTGCAAATAGTAACTTGGTGCAATCGTATATTTTTCGTGTTTCCTTTCCTGTCGCGTGTGATGTATACTGGGGTGTTATACAAAGTGCCACAAAGTTTCGATCATCCCACGAGGTTTGGTCAGTCATGTTACGAGATTTGGTCAATTATGCTACGAAACGTAAGTACACATTTGATATGAGATTGATTACGAGAAATTAAATATGAATTATTTACTTTTTACATTTGGTGGAAAATTTCTTATATACATGATCGATATTTTCTTCGCTAGCGATAAATTACAAAGAAGTAATATTAATTGACTAGAACCGGCTGAAATTTTATTTCTTACGTCTTAAATTATAGAGGAAAAACCACCAGAAATTACCGAATTTCGTCTTTTCTTTCGACAGGAGTAAAGCCAGCGGCACGCGATACCATTTCTTTCTACTGGATCGCTCGCTTGCTACCGCGCGATTCATACAATTCGGATGTAAGCAAGCATAAATGTCAAAATCATTGCAAAATTCATTTTTATTTAATGCTTTTTCAATAACATATTCATGATCACTGATACAACAAGAAGTTATCACATTTGTGAGAATAAACAATATCTATAACAGATAATTTAAATAATACATCTAGAAATGTGCTCATTTTTTTTAATCTGGTCTATTTGAAACACCGATGCCACATGTAGAAATTCGATGTAAAAATATATCTTATTAAACCGCAAAATTTCTGTAATAATTTAACAAATATTTGCGTCATCGCCCAATTATTTTTTTCTCATTTTAAAATTATATAGTTGCAGTACACATAATAATGTAGCCTATAATATTACTTTTTCATGGTTTATAATACTGTAACATGTATTCTTCCTCATATCTCACGTTAACAATGTAAAGGCACTTTCATTAAATTACTTCGCATTAACGATTTGCAAAAGGTAGTTTCACAAAATATTCCGCAATATCTCACTCATTGCAAATTTTTTATCGTCAAACAACAAGAAACATAGTATTACGCGTAACCTCGTAATAGCTGGCTCGAAGTTCGGATCGAGTTCAAGTGAAGATCTGTAGAAGCTTGCAGCAGTTTCGAAGTCACCCTATCCAAAAAAAATGCGCTGGGGTAAATCTCTACTTCATTATACAACTTACATTTAGACTCGGTTTTTCATTTTTTGATTAACTGTTAATCACAGGTCTTTTCTTAGATAATAACATAGAAAAAAATTAAGAGTCGACTAACCTCTGGTTAATAGTTAACGCGAAAATGAAAAATCAAGCCTTAGTGAGATAATATTTAATTTACCAAAGCAGCATGAAGATTGGCGACAACATAATGATTGATTATGAAGTCCGGACCAATTGAGAGTGCTATCTGAGCAATTTCGAGGGCCTCGTGGAAATAATTCTGCGAACTGAGTAAAGACGCCAGGTTCACAAGAAGTATGTCTTGCATATCCTTCGGGGTGTTCTCTAGGCTTTGCCACATACAATCCAGCGCTTTGCGACTATCGCCTGCCACGCGCCAATAAAACGATGCAGCTATCGCCAAGGTCCAAGAAGAGTAATGCTAATTCAAGACAATATATATTGATTATGATGTTACACACCAAATATGTAAAGCAACGAATACATAATTATAGGATCCGATTAATCACCTTTTGCAAAGCAAACGCGATTTTGGTTCCGAGTCCTTGCAAAGTATCATTCTGCGTTCCACTTATCATCATCAGCCACTCGGCCATATCGAGCTCAGCTTTGTATTGCAGCAACTGCGAGAATTGCACCACCTCCGTTACACGACTCATTTCAGAATTACTCTTATTACATATTGGCTGTAAGTTCGGAACATCATTGCCCAATGATTCGATCTCGTCTTCGATGCTGAAATCGAAGAATTTACAAATAATTTGCATGCGACATGCGTGTACGTAGTAGTATATTTTTCAGAATTTATCAATTACGTACGTCACATTGCGCCGTATAAATTTATGAAATACGAATAAAGAAGCAGCCCAGTCTTCATATTTAAGCTCGTCGCACTCATCCTTATTTGGATAATATGACTCCTTTTGATTGTCAGATGTCATATCAAACGATGAATCGGCGTATGTATATAGCATATCCTTCGATATGAAAATTATAGGCAGATTAACTCAGGGATTTGTGAATTAAATATATGAAACAGCATATTATCTTGTGTTTACGGTGTACAATTTTATCGCAAAAGATTTCACTTGCTTACATTATCTGAAATTCTGGCCATATGCACATGTGGCTCATGCAGTTTAGTTGCGCTATTAGGAAGTAATAACGAATGTATAAGACCTTGGCGCACATGTACTTTCTTACTGTAGTATGATACGTCCAATAATCCAATTTTGTGGTTACTCCAACAATTCATCCCTATAATAATAGTTTTCCGATATCAACTGGGAATACAGTAATAAAAAATTTATATTTTAATTTGGACAAAGAAGACTACTAAAAAAGCATTAAATCTGAATACGCAACACATCATATGTATATATGAAAATAAAATTAAACAACATGACATCCAAAGCAGGTAAAATAATAAAAGAGGCATAAATAAGTAACAATAATCTTTATTATATACTCTTACACAAGAAAAAAAAACACTAAATAACAGAACAAGATTACGACAACATAAAATGTGTAATTATAAGCCAAAATTATTGTTTCATTTACTTCAAGCAGAAATAAAACAAGCGTAAATTCTAAATTATGTCAAATAAAAAGTACATAGCACAGTCTAAAAACGGAGTCTACTCTTAAGATGTACGTGCGAAAATACGCACCTGCTCTTTCTTCTGTCTTTGTTGAAACATACTTAATATTACAATTCTTGACTTGCCGTTTACGCAAAAATGTATCACTTGCTTGCAAGTTATACTTATTAAGTAATACAGAAGGCAGGTTCATAGAATGTTTGTGTAAATTAATTCTTTGTTCTTCACAGCCTGTGATTATGACAATGTTTGTCATTACTCATCACAATAATCTGCGTTTTTTTAGAACACAGTACCATCAACAGTGAACAAAATTAATCAACTGAAAAAAAAACATTCTGTGCAAACTCAATTATAAATAATTAAACATAATTGCAAAAAAAGGAAAACCAAAGATTAGAAAGTGTTAATAATGTGGAAAAAACCAAATTAAAGAAATAAGAAAAAAGTAAGAGAAATTATTAATCTCATATTTTTGGTTCCTTCCCTTACTTTCCCTATTATTTTTAGTTCATTGCTTTAAATTCCACAATTATCATTATTTATAAAAAAAAACTGAAGCCAGACACTCTTCATAGAGATCAGTGCAAGTATAAATGATACACAATAATAAAAATAACGTGAAAATATAATGCAAAAGATTAAATGAAACATCTAAAAAATGTGCCAAAACTATTCTGTGAAACCGTGTTAATTACATACACATGTACGTACCTGGATAATTACCCGTGATAACATTAAATTTTTCGCGACAGGCTAATGTTTTCAATAACATTAATGCCTTACCGTCATATAAATGTGAATCCACCCTTAATGCTTGTTTCAAGTAATGTATAGCTCCTGTATAATTTCCTTTTATATTCAATAATATAGCAAACAAGAAATTAGTCATTGGCTGAAAAATTAAATATTACAAAATATATGCTTTTCGTTTACCCAGTCAACGTGTAGAAAATGGTCTTTTCGAGTATTGTGGAAATATTTGTAGAAATAAAGCTCTTGCTATGATAAAAAATTTAATTCTTCATGCATACCTCCACAGCATTAATTCGCAAAGCTTTGTCCGCAATTCTTAAAGCGTCGTCAATTAAACCTACTTTATGGTGTATCGAAGCTATACTGACTAAAGGTACATCCTTAAATTCTTTAGGAACATTTTCTAATGCTAATTGAAGGCAATCCAAGGCCAAACGAGGTTTCCCTACAATTCTCCAATGTAAAGATGCCAGCATAGACAATACCCATGGAGCTGCTACTTTCTGTTTTAAAGCATAGTCAATTGTTTTATCAGAACACTATGATTGTGATGCGTAATAACGAAATAATAAACTGTACCGCTTCAGTTGCCGTCAAAATCCTTTGACCAATTTCTGCCAAGTCCGCGGTTTGAACTAAATTATGTAGAAATGGTTTCAGAGAAGCGTCCGGTAAATGCTGCTGCATAGTCGCATCTAGTAACGTATGTGCAATGTATTTCTCGTTAAACGATTCAGGCGAATGGCATATTGGTGGATGCCATGGCAATGGATGCTTCTTCCATGGCTCTATATCAATCAATTCATTTACAAACAAATGTGTTCTAATAACATATAGAAGAGAATTAATGCGTTACGATATGGCACAGTACGGAAAAAGTTTGAAATACCTACGCGTAACCTTTGTTTTCAGGCGACAAGTAAATAGGCAAATATTGCTTTCCGTCTCCAAACATTAGCATAGAACTATCACAGTCGGATATCTTTGGCCAGTGATCAGCTTCAAAATCTTTATTTCCCTTCTTAATTTCCACATTGTGATACTTTGGACTCTTCGTCGGTGACGCAAACAAATTATTATACTCCGCGTTTAATTCCGTCATCGTGTCTTGAATGATATTAAATACATTTTGCTACTTGCAATATGGATTGTAAAATTCGTAAAACCTACGTCTGTCGCGGAAGAAAATACCTTTCGTGATACGATTACTACGCTCCTTTACTTGTTTTTGCAGATTTTTCAACAGATGAAGACTAACGTGGACGTTCTGCAGCATGTTCTCAGCCATTTTCTTCCTGTCTCCTAAATCCGTGTAAGACAGTACGATGTTATTGTCAATGTGATGAATCGACCTTTCAACCGGATTTATCGCGAGCAAGTGCAGATTCTGCTCTCGCACAAAAGCGAGCTTGATCTCTCTGGTAGCAGATTTAATATTTTGCTCCCAGAGCATATGCTCGTAGAGTTTCAACCACTCCTCCTTCCAGTCGTGATACGCATGTATTTCCGACAACACATTCCGCAGGCGCCTGTAATAACGGTAATCATAAGCATTCCAGTGCAGCTTATAAACGACGAATAACGAACATGAACTCACTGATCGAACAGCAGCAAAGACGTTTCCAAAAAACGATGACACAATATGGCGTACTTCATCTGTTTGGCCTCCATCGTGTCGGGCGCCAGCCTCAGACAATTATCGTAGCACGCCGCGGACCGGTCGAAGTCACCGAGAGCTGCGTAAACGTGGCCCAGCGCCAGATGGTGATGGCTCTCTGTCGGATTATGATCTATCGCCGCGTGCAAAATAATCGCGGCCTCGCCGGAATATCTCGCAGCGTGTAAAATGCCGGCGGTGGTCAGGAGAGGAATATCGCGATATTGCCTTAATCACGTACAATGCTTTCGTTACGAGATCGGTAAAGATTACACGCGGCGGTGCTCCCGGCGGTGCTTTTCTCTAATATCTCCTAAACGAGTTTTCTTATTCTATTACCTTGGCGCGCACACAATCGCCCTACGACTGCACTCTAAAGCATTGTAAGCGTCTCCCCTGATCCGCCAATAAATCGACGCAAGATTCAGGTATATCCAGGAGGTGCTGTTGCGAGACAAGCTGTAGGCGAGCTGATGGCCGAACTGATTGAGATCGGTGTTCAACGGCAGGTACTTCATCAAGTCGAGTTCCTCGCGCTGCGTGAGATTCTTTCGGTTCTGCATCGCCTGATACAAAAAACGACGTTACAGACACAGGCGTGGCTTCGACGCGAGGAGCAACGCGTTACCTACTTTCAGATGTTCGAACGTATATATACTGAAATCCAACGGGAACGTTCTCCGACAATCCGGCACTGTTTGTTTACTGTTAGCCACCACGTTATATAGCATGTAATCAGTTTGGCTGCAACAGAAAATACAACATTACCTTACCCTTCGACACTCGCATATCCTCTCAAGATTATTAAGACGTCACTTGTAATCACTCACTCTATCCCATCTTTAAGCCTGTAATCGACCACTAGACTAGCGTGCACATCGACGTCGGCCAACGACTTGTCCCACGAGAAGCAGTCCGAGTTGGAGCTCTCTGCGTCGGCCAAGCCTAGGCCGACAAACTGATTGTCAATGGACACCTCCTTCCTCGAGATCTTCTTGTATATAGCGTCAGCCGATTCCCTGCGTCTCTCCTGCTCCAGGAATCCCAGAAGGTCGTACGGTCGACGCATATCGAAGACACTGTCGTGCTGAAAGGGAAGGAAGTTGAGTGCCGAGTGAGACAGCGGTCCATTTTCTTTCCGGGTGGAAGAAAAAGAACTGGCATACAGTTTCGACTTCTGGCCAACCTCGGTTTTCACCAGAGTCGTTTAACTTTAATCTTGGCTTAATTCATCCTTTGTCTCTTTCAATGCCCACTTCTGTCAGCGCAGATTAACTTCAATCTTGGCTCAACCCACTTTATATCTTTTGCCAGTTTCAAAAATTAAAACAAGACGAGAGGTAATTTAAGCTGAGATTAAAGTTAATCTGCAACGGTAGAAGCGGGCATCAGGGGACAGTTAGACCCGGTTTCACCAAACGTCGCTTAACTTTAAGCTTAGCTTAATTCGTTCCTTGTCTCTTTCCACTGTTACTCTAGAAAGCGACAAACATGAGGTAAGCTAAAGTTACATAAATCAATTTAAGTGTTTAAATTAATTAAACCTGAATTAAGGCTAAAGTTAAGCTACGTTTGGTGAAACCGGACCCAAGGTAACAGCTGAAAAGAGACATAGAACGAATGAAGCTAAGCTTAAAGTTAAACAATGTTGGCGAAACCAGGCCTTAGAAATTAAGATCAAAGTTAAGGCTGGTCTACGATACATGGAGTAAGCTGGAGTAAGGAGTAGGAGTAAGGAAATAAATCCATTTTATTTCTTACTCCTACTTCAGCTCTTAGACTTACTCTCGGTGAATCAAAATGCCATCAATCAGTGTTGCAAATATTTTTTTTAAATTACGCCCGTATTTCAGCTTCTTTACACCAGAAGCTACAAGTTAGGGCTCTCCCTTACTCCTTAAGCTGGTGGCAGAGAACGATCCGTAAACGCTTAAGACTGGCTTAGTCGTAGACGTAGAGCAAGGCAGGGAGAAACGTAAGTCGTGAAAGGCTATTGTATACGACTTACGTTTCTCTCTTTGCCGTAGGGCTTTGCCCTACGTCTACGACTGAGACAGTCTTAAGCGTTTACGGATTGTTCTCTGCCATCAGCCTTACTCCACGCTTACTCCACGTATTGTAGACCAGCGCTTAAACGTTGGTGAAAATGAGCAATAACAACTCATCGCAGGCCGGGCTTCACGTTCACGTGACTGTCATCGAGAGAAGATCGCACTCACCTGCGGCTGAATCCTCCCATTCTCCGTGACGTACCAATGCCTGGTGGCCGAGATCTCGAGCATCACCGCGAGCACCGTGACGATCCTGCAGGGCACGTTGCGCCGGGTCATTTTCCGCGATATAACCTCCACGCGACGCGCCTCATCGATCCCGCGAGGGCAGCCCGACGGCGTGGACCATGACCGCGGGAGAGCGAGAGACGCCGCGCGTCTCTTTTTCCGCACGGGATGCGCTCCCCGCGATTACCAGCGAAAAACGCCTATCGCGTCGCGCGTTTCCTCCCGCGGAGCGATCTCGGGAGGACGATTTGAAGCGCACGCGATTACGTGCGCGGTGCGCGTCAGTGGCTGTTAACAGCGACAAGCGCGGCCCGCCAATGTCAAGTTGCCAGCCATTGATACGAACATTATGGCCCGGTTTCACCAACGCGAGTTAATCTAATCGGTCGGTTAACTTGACAGGGTGCCAACATAAAACTTCTTTATTAACCTATTTTCTTGGTTAATAAAGAAGTTTTATGTTGGCACCCTGTCAAGTTAACCGACCGATTAGATTAACTCGCGTTGGTGAAACCGGGCCTATGTACGTCATGAGAAAATCATTAACGCCCCGGGTCTCCTATAGTTTTTGGATATTGAACGTGAAACGGTGGTGAAACGCGGGATTTGGAGGATAAAGGACAATTTGCTCTCCCCGTTCGTCCGATTGATATTTTTTTGAGGAAACCGTTTGCCGATAGGGTGGAAAGTGCGGACAGTGCAGAGAGTGCAGTAAATGTAGGGATATTTACACTGTGAATACTTCGAACTTCAACGTCGAACTATAATTTATCAGTTCTATAAATTTATATAAATATGTTACTTATTTATAAATAGCGTACAACTTATGGATTATTTTCTCGATTATAAGGTCAAATTTTTTTTATTCTGTAACACATATTTATATTTCGAGGCTTTCCTTGAATTTGCAATTGGCATTCCTTTCGGGTGACCTCCCTGTTTAAAATAATTATAGATAAAGTGTAATCACAAATTACATTAGATTAAATGCAATTTCAATGTAAATTAATAAGACTCTCACGTAATCTAATGTAATCCGATCATACTCTAATATTTTCAACGGGACTGTACACCCCATACAGCACAGAAAACATTGTTGCAATGTTGCGATGTTTCTGAAATATTTCTGAAAGCTTCGGTGCTGTATGGGACCCAAGGAGAAATGAAAAGTCAAGATGACGTCAATTTGATGCCATCCCAGATAGCACAAGACACTTCTATGAACATTTTAAGAATATTTGGAATATATTCTATGGGTCAGTCTTATATATTTATATTATATTCGTGAAACATTCCACTGGCACTACTATAAATCTTTTTCGAATGTGAATAGAATAATCTATCGAATATAGCGTGTCGGTTACATACGGTATGACACACAGGTTTTACTGCCTTTTGCATAAAAGTGTATTGCACAATATACAATGCGCAATACGTAAACTCGATGAATATTAAAAAATTATTCTGAATGAATATTCCAAAGACATTCCCCAGATAACATGCTTGTCTAAAAGACATCTTCAAGACTTCTTTAAAACGTCTTTAAGGTATCTTTTAGACGTGTATGTCTAAAAGATGTCTAAAAGACGTGTTAAAGACATCTTAAAGATGTCTTTTAGACATGCATGTTATCTGGGTTGTGCTCACACTGGCTATCTGGGTGGAACGAGCGAATATAAAACTCGAAGGTATCACTTCAGAGTAAATTTACATTTCCGATTTTCATACGAGGTAAAAAAATATTGCTCAGCTGTCAGGTCTAACAATTTCCGTCGTACCGACGATAAGGTCCCTTTTTACACAACGACGCAGGAAAACAGCGCGTTTTGCAACGACGCGCTCGCTTATCGCGCGAGACTCGCGGGCGCACCTGCGTCGCAAAATATGATAATTGTAATCTTATCTGCCAGAGCGGTATGACGCGAGAGAGCGTTTTGCGCGTCGTCTCGCGCGACGAGATCAGAAGCCTCCGTTATTTCTCTTCTTCTCTCCTGCGTTTCGCGTGCGCGCGGTCGTGAACTTTCGCGCCGCGAACTTCAATCGCGCCTTTTCCCGGCCGCGGCCTTGGCGGCCTCTCTTCACCGCGAAGGCGCGACCGAGGTGGTCCCGCGCCTGCGTGCGCGGCCGCGGCCCGCGCTCCTCGGCGCCGACCGTTCCGCCAATTGCGGATTGTTATGAAAGTCCTCGAGACTCCGCGGCACCGTGTCCGTCCGTCGTCCACGCAGCGAGCGAACGCGGCACTCAGCGCGATCGGGATCGGTACAGTCCCGGGGTAGTCGAGATCTCGCGAGCGCGCAGTGCCAGTCACCTTCCCGGCGGTCCCCCTGCGCGGCATTGAGGACCACCCTCCGTCTCTCGCAGCCATGAGCCTGGTGCGGCAAAACTTCCACGAGGAGTGCGAGGACGCGCTCAACAAGCAAATCAATCTGGAGCTATACGCCAGTTATGTCTATCTGTCCATGGTCAGTCGGCGTATCGATCAGACTCAACCCCCCGCGCGAGGCGCGAGGCTCTCGTTTTCCCCCCCGTCGCCCTCGAGTGCGCTCCATCGAGACACCCGTGCACACCCGAGTGTGCGTCTTCTCCCTCGTCGTCCAGCGCGCGCCTACCTCGACGTTCACCAGCTCGGATCCTTCGTGCTGATCTGGACGTTGCGTAAAAGTATTCCGTGCAATGTAATCGCGGAGAGCCGCGAGGGGAGACGCATTCTCGTCGAACACACGCTTGCCTATTGCGTTGCATTTTTAAGTTCCATGCGACGCCATTGCGCCTCGCTCTCCCTTTCTAATCCAATACCCGCGTATCGACGTTCCTTCGCCGTCGAGCAACGCGCGTGCAATGAAAGCCCGCTACCCCTGGTAGCGCGGTGCGTTGGGCCAAACATTGGTCCACGTTGCTTCGACGTTGATTACGTTGGAAGTGCACCAACATTTCCCAATGTTGGCCGTAGAATCAACGCAGTTAGTTGCACGGCGATGATGATATGTAACGTTGGAAGTGCATATATTGGTTTTCCCAATATAACGTGAATGTTACGTCAGTATTGGCTGAACAGACATACTGGGTGTTTCCGGGGCGGCTCACTATCAGCGCTATTTAAGCCTAATCTACAACGTTCTATTTTGCGGCCAATAAATACGTTCCATTTTGTAGCCAACAATCGTCACGGAATTAGTAGTAATTTTCATTATATTTTACTGTTATATCTAAAAAGTCCGGGATACATTTGCTTATTTCGAAAAGTAATAAAGTGAGATTTGGACAGATGGTACACGCACCGGCATAAATGCTGGCCCTATCCTTGTGAGGTGCACGCACACAACTACAGGGACTCTAGTTGTGTGCGTGCACCTCACAAGGATAGGGACAGCATTTATGCCGGTGCGTGTACAAATGCTTTTTTGGACGTACTGCAAGCAAGGCCGGATTAACGTTTTTGAGGCCCGGGGCTATTGGCTCCGTGCGGGCCCTTTATTGAAAAAGCGGGGGGGGGGGGGGCAAACTTTGTATACCCC